TCTCCAGGGCATAGGTTATAGATATTTGATTTTATCTGATTTTTTTGTTGATTTGTATGGCTTTTTAGACTGTGTAGAAAAATTCAAACTTAGGTGGCCACCACTACTCTACGGCAATCCAGGGGTCTTAATTCATCAAGAATTTTCAGTGTCTTTTTAGTTGACCATGTTCTCTAGTTTAGTCTAGTCTCCTCTACTCTTAAAATACTACCTTTATTTAGTAAAAACTGAACCTTTGGTAATTTATGATTAGCACCAGTCATAAGCCCTCATTAATGATGGACACAATAACTAAAAGAGCCACATAATACAAAAGTATATAAAGGAGGTGAACACCATAATGAATTTAGCTTGCAAAGAAAACTGCAAATGTATCACTCTGTGATACATTTGATAACGTAGGGTAAAAAACTGAAATCTAGATATTACTGTGAAAGAATTAAGTGTAAATAAATTTTCATTTCTACTAAAGCAGCAGCAATCTTTCATGCTCGGTAAATGAAGATTTAACAAGGTTATTGAAAAATAGTTGATAATAAATTTCAAAGTCCCTTACTTAGGAAATAATTTTGATACATGACAGTAAGTCTGTTCAGAAATATTAAAGACATAAAGCAGACTAAAAGCAAACGACAACAGACAATTCTTACTGTTAGAGAAGATTTATAATCTACATTAGTAGCTTCTGTACATAATTTGATATGTTTAGGATTATAGCCTAGTAGGGAGCCAAAAATCAACACACTGAATAAAATAAAGAACAAGTGTTAAGAAATAACCTAAGAATTCAACAGGTAGATGAGTATTACCAAGTTAGGAATATGGAACTAGATACTAAATACTTTCTTCTTTAAAAACAAGTAAACTGATGTTCTTTCATAGGGTTTTCTATAGATAATAAACAATTACGTGACACTTATATGAAATAGGAATTGCCATCGGGCAATCGGTTAAAGTTCAAATACAAAGGTATATGAGGCAATGAGAAAGAGGGAAACAGCCTAATCCGTTAGGGAAAAAATTGAAAGTGGTGCTGGTGATCATGCTGGCACTGTATTGTGGTTCCCCCAGCCAACAAGAACATAGTCTCCATGCTCTTACAACAGAATAGAATTTTTATTATGAATAGACTGTTAATTTTGCTTATTTGGGGGCCTTTAATTCATGCTAGTAGTTTGTCTTATAAGGTGGTTCAGATGTCATACTCTCTAAGGACAACTCCTGCCTTAATGTTTATGGACAAAAATGTGGGCTGTTTTACATTTTCAAATAAGCATGAAATAGAATAACCGACACTACAATTCAACAAGCATTTACTGAGAATCTTCTAACTATTCTCTGAATCAAAAGAGACCAGAATAAAAGGGCTGATTTCTTGGCTGGTAGCCTTCATATATTTACTAAAAACATTTTAAAGCTGAGATCTGAAGTATTTATATGAGTGAATGAATGCTTCCATATTAATTTAGATCAGAGATTTACACAAAATGCTTGCTCAAACAAAATGGTTTCCATAAAGTCTAGTACGTATTCAAATTTTCAACTTTTGTCTTTTAAGATCCTTACATATACTAGATTTAATGCCCCCCCAAATTTAAGAAAACACTCTGAAGTCATACATCAAAGCAAAAATTCTAATTCAGATTATGATAATCTGTAATATACAATTCAAAAATACTAAATTCCCACAGTGTAAAAACTTAAAAGCATAATTTCTTTCCTCTCAGAAATGTCCTGTCCAATGGCAGGTTAGTAAACTGTAAAATAGAACTTTAAGATTAGATTTCCATTACACACATTACCATTTTGTAAAGAATGGAGAAATCATTCTTTCTTGATCAGGTGCAATTCTAGTGCAAACACTGATATTTTTTAGTTAAAACACCTGACACTAGGAAGAATTATGAAATTAGAACTTCTCTGTGTAAAAAAAGCCAGTATAGATTCTAAGTTATATGCTTTATAATTTTACCTTTAAGAGCAGAGAAGTAGTGACGGCTCAAACATTTTATTCAGGGAAGTAAGAACTTTATAAAATCAACATTTCCCTGGTATTTAAAAAAATTTTTTCTTGCTTAAAAGCTAGATGTTAATTTTATAAAACATACCAATTAATATCTATAAGATAAATATATAGCTCAAAGGGGAAAATGGTTTATAAATTTTCTTCCTCTAATAATAATTTGAAACTATTTTAAAGAAAAAGCAAAAATTTAAGACAATATTAAAATCTAGTTTCTGAAAACACTTTCACGTTCTATAAACGCAGGAAAAAAGCTGCACTTTACTCAGAATGTAGTTTTTTATTTTGTAAACTAAGAGTTCAAATTCAAACTCTGTACTCTGCCAGAGCAAGGCAAGTACCCTTACAGGGACTGTTTCTTTATCTTTTAAATGGTGATGTATATAATACCTCCTCATGGGTCTACAAGAAAGATTAGATTAGACAACAGATACAAGTCTGAAGTCTAGTGCTGAGTACACAGTGGATGCTCAATCAATGATAGATATCATTTGTAAGTCAAAGACGGAACATCTGCATGAACCACCTCTTCCTACATCAAATTCTTTTGTGTTAATAGTCTCAGATGTGGGGACAATTATGAATTTTATTACAGATTCTTAAGAAGCCATATTCCTTTTGTTCCCTTCCTAAGGAGTCAATAATTAAATTGGTAGAGTCTGTTGTTTTCATTACCACTTTGTAACTATTTGGCCTTAACATTTTATGATATATAATTTCAAGACCATTTTCAATAAATGGGTCCAACGAATAACTCTGCAATGGGTCTGAAATTTAGTTCAGCAACTATATGTCAATATTTAGTTCAGCAACTATGTGTCAATATTTCCTGAATCTGTTCTTTAAAAAGCTATAAAATTTTGCTTCCTTTTTTCATTTCTCTTCAACAATTTCATCTATCTGTGTACCAGTCTTTCCAGGAGAGGGCTGAGCAAGCCTCCATGTATAACCAAGGATATCACCTCCGTGTCCTTCAGGTCCTGAACAAATGGTCCATTTAGAAAATACTACTTGTTTTTAACACAGAGAAAAAACTGGGCCATTTAAAACAAAATAAGTTATAATAAAACAACGCTTGAAAAAAAATGAACTTGAGATACTCAATTTATACAGACTGATTACAAGATTACGTAAATCTGCCTATACAGGCATGTGTAAAACTCAGGTCATTATGTGGCTTTATCCAAAAGAATATTCTGTGATCATGGAAATAGTTTATACCTGTGAGCCCCAATAAGGTAGTCACCAATCAAACATGGCTATTGAAAAGTTAGACTAAATAACTTAATTTTTAATTAAATTTAATTGTTAAAATTTAAATAGCCACCTGTATCTACTATAATGGAGAGTACAGCCTTACACATTCTCTCTTATTTTTCTTTACCACTGTGACCCTTATCCAGATGTTTTTACTGAACTCCTTATTTTAAATCCCTTCTCTGATACCTCTAAGATTAAATAGCTTGACATAATTATAATCTCAAAAGCAAAATATTACTAAAACAGAATTTTAAAAGCTACCTTAAATGTGCTTTTTGATAAAGAGTACTGCAATTATTTTAAATTTTCTAATCACAGTTTACTAAAACAGAAAAAAGAAAAAGAATGCATACATATCAGAGTGCTTGAAACTGAACTCTAACAATACAGTCTATTCTTCCTCCTGAATTATTTGTCAGCTACATAATTAGTCCCAGGATAAAATAACGGCATAATTAAAAACAAGCACAGCATAAACCACAGCACAGCCAAGGAGAATTAAGGAAACAAATGAAAATTATTCTGTATCTGTCTATTCATTGTGATAATACAGAAATTAGTGAATAGAAATATGATGGATCAAATGTAACAATACAATGTATTAGTCAATGAAGAGTTGTATAATTTTTATCTCTTATTTACCACGCCACCAAAGATCAAGTGTTACCTCAGTTTTACAGGATTTCTGGATGACTGCTGGTGGCTCTTTCCAATTAAACCTAAGCATACACATTATTTTAAAGTAAAATGATTAAAAAGATCTCAGAAAAAAAATTTCAAGTGTTTTAAGCTCCCTCTCTCTTTCTCTCTCTCTCTTTCTTTCTTTTCCTTCCTTCCTTTCTTTCTTTCTTTTCTTCTCTGTTTCTCGTCCCCACATGTAAACACAGTCTTTTTTTAAAGCGTAGTTAGGTGTTAAGAAGAAAAACAACTTTGACGCTTATCTGCTAAGAACTGCCTCTCTCTGGGACTAGTATTAATGTCATCACCACCAATCAATTCCACCTTTCTTCTGCCTATCAACTTGGCTTTCAGTATCCTGGGGGAGGCGAGGTAAGTAGGAGGTGAACATGTAAAACAATCTCAGTATTCAGGGATAGGATTCAAAAGAATTCAAGTTATGTGAATGTAAGTTATGTGCTAAACTATATACCAATTTCTGAATGATTGTTGATTTGATTTTTTGTTTGGCATTTGAGTAAACATAATAAAACTTACTATTTTTTTTTTACATCTTTATTGGAGTATAATTGCTTTACAATGGTGTGTTAGTTTCTGCTTTATAACAAAGTGAATCAGTTATACATATACATATGTTCCCATATCTCTTCCCTCTTGCGTCTCCCTCCCTCCCACCCTCCCTATCCCTCCCCTCTAGGTGGTCACAAAGCACTGAGCTGATCTCCCTGTGCTATGCAGCTGCTTCCCACTAGCTATCT